TTGACGTCTACTCACTTATTTATCATTTACATTACTCAACCTTTTAAAACTTATATGCTTAATACATAAAAAATAAAATAATACATTATTTATAGTATTTAAAATTTTAAAACTTCAAATTCCGATATTGGAAGATTTATTTCAAAGTTTCAAAGTTAATGATCTAAATGTATAACTTTTTTTCAAATGAATGGTGGACAGGCCGGGTTTGGTGGGTCAATTCTTGGGGCAATTTTTTTTTGGGCATGCTATTGGGTTGGATAATGGGTTTAGGGACAAACTCAAATCCTCTTTTTAAAGATATTGAGTTCAAGCGGGCCAACTATTCGAGAGTTTATTTGGTTTCGAGCCTTTTTTTTTGAGATCGGATAACGGAACTCGTGGATAACCCGAATCATTTCCATAGATTTATCATTATAGATGTTTTTGTTTGTCGAATTTGTTTTCTTGGGATTAGCTAATATCTTCTAGGGCATGTTTGTTTGGGAGATTAAATATGGGTGGTATTGAAAATGTATTCTTTATATTTTCAATACCAATGAAAATTAGTATCGGTAATAAAAAGTATTTCAATCTTTTCTCGTGTTTGTTTGTTTAATAGGTACTATAATAAGTTTTACAAACAACCATCTATTCTATCACATTTTACATAACAAATATATCATTTTACCCTTAACATCATTCATTCCATTATTTCATTTGTGTAACGTTTTTGCACAATGTTTGGTATAAATACATGATATAACAATTCATACCCAAAAAAATTCCGAATTTATAAAAAATTAAGAATATGATGTTATGAATCGGTGATATCATAAAAAAATTTTTTTAAAAAAAGTGACATTATACGCTTAAATATAATACAAGGAAAATATTTAAAATAATTTTAAAAAAAAAAACCGGTAACACCATACGCTTAAACATACAAGGAAAAAATTTAAAAAATTTTTTTTAAAAATTTTAAAAAAAAAGGTAACACCGTATGCTTAAACATAAGATAAGGAAAAAATTCAAAATAATTTTTTAAAAAAATATTTAAAAAAATCGGTAACACCATACGCTTAAACATAATATAAGGAAAAAATTTAAAATAATTTTTAAAAAAAACGGTGACACCCGTACACTTAAATTTAAATAAGGAAAAAATTCAAAATAAAATTTTTACTTGTAAACAATTAACATAGGAGGGCATTTGTGTCAATTTACATGTTTGTACCATTTTTTCATTCAACCCAGGAAGACAATACTATCAGGTAGGTGATATTCATTAATATCATATATAAGATTTAAGGGGCAATGTTCAAATCAGGTCGGTATTATGACCTAAAAAATAATACTGTGTATAAAATACCAAACAAACAAAGTAATAGATGGACTCCAAATACTATTTCCTTCTATCTCACCCTATAATACCTTGTAATACCCGAAACAAACATTCCTCTATTGTATTTTCATACCATAAAAAATTATAATCGGTATTAATACATAACTCAATCTCACCTCATGGATTGTTTGAATATTTGTTGGCATTGTGGGACCTACCAAAGTAACTGTTAGGACACATCTGCACGTGCAAAAAGTCCTATTTGAACTTAATATAATCTACTCCATTTAGTGAAGGAATGAGTGTTCTTCTACTTATTTGGATAGCTTATACCGTCGTCGATGGCCATTTAACACTGAATAATACCATACCATACCATACCATACCATACATCTAGTGATATTAGATATGCCCATTTATTATATAGGTATAGGTATGTATATGTCAATTGTAGATACCGAGCTAATACGAAAAATTAATACTGGACGATATTAGCTAAACAAACTAGATATTAAATGGACCCAAATATTATTTTATTTTAGAATATCTCACAACCTTATACCCCAATATACAGCAAATTCAATTAGTACGTTTAGATATGAACCCTAAACAAGCAATAATTTTAGTTTGAATTCGAGTTAAATTTGAATTTGTTTAATTGGATATAAACTAATATTTTCGTTCGTTTATTTAAATTTGTTCAGATATCTTAAATTAGATATGAATATATATAAATTTGATTCGATAAAAAAAAATTAATTCATATATATATATATATATATATATATATATATATATATGTATATTGATTATCTATACTTAATCCTAAAAAAATTTATATGTTAAAATTTTAGTGAAATATCATTATGGATTGGATCGAGAAATCGAACCGAATGTTTGATTATAAGTGGATTTGGATAAGTGAATTAGATTCCATAAATAATTTTTTAATTGAATTCGATTTGGGGCTATCTCACATCGAATAACCTTTGAATGTGTGTGTGAGAGTTATAAAGACCTATGATATTTCTATTTTTAAGTAAAAGTGTTGTAGTGTTCTCTGGTCAAAAAAATAATACCGGCATGTGTGCGTTTTAGGGTAGATCCCATGTGGGCTCAGCTACATCCCTCTAAGGCCCGACTATGATCGGGGAAGCCTTTGGGCCAAGGTGGTGATGGACTAGGGTTATCCCACATCGGATAGCATTTCGGTGTATATATGAGTCATAAGGATCTATGACACTTCTACTTTTAAGTAGAAATGTTGTAGTGTTCTTTGGTTAAAAAAAAATGAATTCGGTTTGACCCAGATTGGGTCCGACCCAATCTGTTGACTGGCTGGCCCGAAAGCGATCCACCTCAATCGGGTAATTTGTCCAATGGCAAACAAACACACCAATGTGTTGTATTAAAGTGGGATAGGAGGAGGATTAATCATAATACATTCTAATTATGAGATTCCACAAATTCAATTAGTATGTGTAGATTCTTGAATTATCCTATCCAAAAAATAAGAAAGACTCAAATCATGTAAGCTCTTATTGATACGAATGATAAAAGAGTTGTTTTATGTCACATTTGTCTAATATTTTTATCATGTCATACTAAAAGTTATTCAATTCTTATCAATTTTATTGTAATCGTGTATAGTCAAATTTGCATTATATGTAAACTGCGTTTAACTAAATTCTTGTTGATCAATTTGTTAAACAAAGTTAAACGAATTCATCCATTTATCACTCAAACATTTAAGACTAATTCTCTAATAATTTCATGTCCAATTTACAAGCCGTGTTTACCTACTAATACTTCTGTATTTGGTAACAATTTAAACTTTTTCAAAGAAAGATCTCATCAAACCCACTCCACTCCAATCAAGTAAAATCGGGATATATACAATCAATTCAGTGTTACAAGTGTTAATAATTATAACAAGTTTTAGGGATAATGTTAGAATGGAATGAATCAACGAGACGTAGGCCCACCACATTCAGGTCCACGACAAACGAACCCTAAACAAGCAATGATTTTAGTTCCAATTTGAATTTATTTTAATCTGTGGATCAATATTTTCATTTGTTTATCTAAATTTGTTCAGATATCTTAAATTGAATATAAATATGGATATGAATATACATAAATTCGATTAGATAAAAAATTAATTCAATCAATATATATATATATATAACAAAGTAGCTTATAATTCAAATTTCAAAAGATAAACAAAACGATTTTTACTATTCGCGGTTGAAATCACTTTAAATTTTACTTTAAAGTTAATCTAACGGTTAATGTTAACACTCTAAATTTAATAGGAAAAATAGGGCTCTAAGGGTGTATTTGAAATGATTTTTAAAAATATTTTTAAAAATTATTTCTCATAAATACTTTAAAAAAAAATAGCATTTGAAACCGCCGCACCACTACCTCTACCACCATCTCCGCCACCGTCACCACAGTCACCGTCACCGTCACCGCCACCACTACCACCACCCCCACTGCCATCACCACCACTACCGCCTCCGTCGCCATCACCACTATTGCTGCCTCCACTGTCATCTTCGTCGTTGTCGTCGCTGCCACTACCATCATCACTGCCACCACCACCATTGTCATCACCATCGTCGCCGCCACCATCACCATCGTTATAGCCACCACCACCACCACCACCTTCGTCGCCATCATGGTCATTGCCACCCACTACAACCATCACTGTTTCCTACCACCACAATTGTCGCCCACCACCTCTGACCCCCACTACGAATCGATACTTAAATTTTTTTATCTCTTTTCTATATTTGTGATTTGATTTTGGATATAAATACAAATATGTTTATTATTTACTATTTGTTATTACTTTGTGTTTTCAGGCGTAGACAATAATTTGTATATAATAAAGTAGTTTAGAATTCAAATTTCAAAAGATGAACAAAATGACTTTTGTTTTTCGCGGTTCAGATCGCTTTAAAGTTTACTTTAAAGTTAATCTAACGGTTAATAATAACACTCTAAATTTAATAATAAAAAATAGCGCCTTAAAGGTGTGTTTAGAGTGATTTTTTAAAAATACTTATATAAATTATTTTTCATAACTATTTTAAAAAAAAATAATATTTGAAACCGCCCTACCACTACCTCTACCATCACCACCCCCACCACCACTACCTCTACAACCGCCATTGCCACAACCATCGCTGCTACCACCACCACGGTAATTGTCATTCACTACAACTATCATAGTATCCTACCACCACTTTTCACCCTCATTACAAACTGATGTTTAAATTTATTTATCTCTCTTCTATGTTTGTGATATAATTTTGGATATGAATACAAATATGTTTATTGTTTACTATTTTTTATTATTTTGTACCTTCAGGCACAGATAATAACTAGTGTGTATATATATATATATATATTGATTATTTATATTTGATCCTAAAAAAATTTAAATGTTAAAATTTTAGTGAAATATTATTGTGGATCGGATCGAGAAATCGGACCAAATGTTTGATTATAAGTGGATTTGGATAAGCGAATTAGATTCCATAGAGGATTTTTAAATTGAATTCGGATTGACCCAGATTGGGTCCGAAACCAATCTGTTGACTGGCTGGCCTGAAAGCGATCCATCTCAATCGGGTAATTTGTCCAATGGCAAGTCAGTCCCTGGCTTAGAGGATGAAGCTCCATATATATAAAGCGTAAAGCACTATCCTTCGTCTTCACCCAGAGCTATAAACCCTAGCCAGCTACCAAGCTACGCCGAGAAGCTCCAGTGCCGGTAAGTCGCCTCCGTCTCAGATTTGCTGATTTAATGTCATTTCTGCTTTTCTGATCTGGTTGTACATCTGAATTTGTCTAATCTTTATGATTCTGTTTTGTTATAGTTTTGTGATTCATTTTCATATCTATAGTTGATAATTGCTTCCAAGTTCATGCACTGGATGGAAATATGCAAAAACAGGAAGATAAAAGGATTTGAGTTGATAAAGATGTTTGAAAAAAGTTCTATCAGTGAAAAACTGGTCGATGAAATTGATTGCTTTAAAAAAGAGATCTATTTGAGCTTTTGCATTTTGATTTTTTTGTATGTGTTCGTGGATTTGTAAAGTTGGTTCCCTGAATCTTTTGACTAGTTCATGTCTGAGTTGCCCATCCGGGCTGATGAGGATGATACCGTACAATTTTGTGATTTCTAGTTCAGTGGTTAGATATTTGGTTTGGTGTGTGAAGCACTGCACTTACTAACAATTAGGCATACAAATGTATTTACTGCCAAGAATATGGTTGTAGTTTATATTTAAATTATGATTTCTAATGTTCATCTGATTTTCAAAATTTTATAGTGGTGGTCTGCCACACTCATCTTAAAAATACCCACAAAATAGAGAGCTGGAAATAGATATAAAGATGAGGGAATCAAACATATCGCTTTTGAATGGTGTCGCAACCATATGGGTATAGATGGCTTACAGCTTAACTACTTGAAAATTGGAATGTGTATTGGTTGTTTTATCTTATGAGCTAGTATGTTGGCATCTGGGGTTATAAAGTTGTACACAATCTTCTGACATGCTTTCAGAAAGAAACCGCATTATTATCTAGCAATGGCTGTTGCATTTTACAACCTCAGCTCCGTGGCTGGTCTCAAGAAGCTCGATGAGTACCTCTTAACTCGTAGTTACATCACTGGGTGAGTGGTGCATTTGTTTCTATTGTGGTTGTGTTTGGTTTGGATTTTATTTGTTGAAGTGTGGTTTTAGGTTTTCATTTGCTCCTTTCAGGTACCAAGCTTCAAAGGATGATCTGACTGTGCATGCAGCTCTGTCAAAGCCTCCATCATCTGAATATGTGAATGTTTCTCGGTGGTACAACCACATTGAGGCACTTCTGAGGCTTTCGTAAGTTCCTTGGTCTTACTAGATGTTTTTGCCATGTTATATTGTTATTATGTCTACGATTTCTAAATCTACAAGAACGGTCTTGATACACAGGGTTTATGTCTAATTACTTGGTGGCTTGCTCAATTCTTATTATTATTTATGCTACTGTGTTGTTGAGTACTTACATTCAGATATTGCAGTGGGGTTTCTGCGGAAGGTTGTGGTGTCACTGTTGAGGCATCTGCTCCCATTACTGAGGAGGCAGTTGCTACTCCACCTGCTGTTGACACTAAGGCAAGTTTACATGCTTGTGCCTGTTTATTATCTAGATCTCTGATTTTATTTGATATTTTGATGTTTGGGCCAGTTTCCACCGTTAGTTTGGTTGTATATGCTCTCTTCTTTTAACTTGTGACTTGCAGTGTGTCTTAATACCAGAAAGTGCACTATCTGAATTTCCAACAGGCTTGCTGTGCATGTGTGCCCTTCTCTTAAAAAAAAATCTATGGTCTTCTTGTTTCCGTGCCTAATTTTTTATCTGAAATGTGAGTTTCAGGCCTCAGCTGCTGAGGATGATGACGATGATGATGTGGATCTGTTCGGCGAGGAGACTGAAGAGGAAAAGAAGGCCGCTGAAGAACGTGCAGCTGCCGTGAAGGCATCTGGAAAGAAGAAAGAGTGTGAGTTTATTTTTTCCTTCTTACTTACCCATGGGAATAATGTTATCGTTTATTATTATGAGTCACTTATTGCTTTAAAATTAGCGAACCTTAACAGCTATATGATAGAATTTCTGTCTTCCTAATCATAAGGATAATTTGCATATGTTCCTCTGAGTGGGCCCATGGGTGACTCTTGAGTTGGAGTTTTTTTCATGCACATGTGATCCAAGTGCTTCAAGTCATTCCTAAATTTTTCTTAGTTTTCTTTTGTACAGGCAGCTTGCTAACTGTACCTTTTTAGCATGTCTCTATTCACTTGATTTTTAATTTCAGCTGGAAAGTCGTCAGTCCTGATGGATGTGAAGCCATGGGATGACGAGACGGACATGAAGAAGCTTGAGGAAGCAGTTAGAAGTATCAAAATGGAAGGATTGTTTTGGGGAGCATGTAAGTTTCTCTTTTAAACCAGGTTACTGATGTAAAATGTAAATTATAAACTATTCTGAGGTTGTCAGTCACAATCATTACTCTTGTTATTTCATTGTTAAACTTGTTATCTCATTGACAAACATATTGACATGTACATGCACAAACCACTGTGACGTTGTCCATGGCAATTGGCATATACATTTGTAACCCAAACCAAAATCACACGACGCACACAGACACAGTGGAATTTTTCATGGAACAAATTTTTTAGATTCTCGGGTACTCTTGGGAATGACACAATATTGCCGAAGTCACATCTCATGAATTAATCGAAGTATTATGGTGGGAACTTTTTAAATGTTCTGATTTTCTTGTGAATGAAGCAAACCATTGATGCTGAAGTTATATTTCAAGTGTGATGAAAGAAAGTGGTGTATTGCAGCCAAACTTGTTCCTGTTGGATATGGTATCAAGAAATTGCAGATTATGCTCAGCATTGTGGATGACTTGGTGTCTGTTGACGATCTTATTGAGGATCATCTCACGTCTGAACCAGTGAACGAGTATGTTCAGAGCTGTGACATTGTGGCCTTCAACAAAATATGTAAGTTTACGTTGAAACCTTTCTTGTATCATCTTCCTTTAGTTGTAAAGCCATTGTCATTTATCCTTGTTCATGCTTGTTATATCTAAAAATGAGGGATCATTGTCACAGAAATTTGCCAGTTCGCATGACTTGGTGGGAATGTCTGCGCAGAATATTTTGGAAGCAACGAGTTCTGCTGTTTTAATTTTGTTATATCTCATTTTATTAATATAGGATTCCTATTTTTGTCATAGAGGATTATAATTCTCGTGAAGTCAATGGTATCTAAGTGATTGTGGCATGATGCTTCTTTTCGTACTCCAGATATAATTGCAGTGAGGAACTAAACTAGATTGTTGCAGTTTGAGATTGGTTTTTGGTGTTCTGATTTCTTCCCTGTTTAATTTGGTTTGTGGATGTGTTACATGGCATGCTGCATGGTTGCTGTTGGGCTGAACTTGATTATTATGCCCGCAGCTGTCAATTTGTTTTAGCCGCACCGTTTCTGGGTTTTACGACTTTGATTTAAAGTCTGCCCAACTCCTTGTTGCTGTTGTATGTGATCTAGAGTTGACCAACTTGTCAGGTAGCTCTTATTGGAAGACTCTAGCAGTTATTACTTATAGACGTAAAGTTTGAGCCTTGTACGAGCTATCTTTGTGTGTGATTTTGTGCATTTTGAATTATTGTTGTAGTATGTGTCTAAAAGACGCGTGGTTGGAAGAAGTCTAGGTGGTAAGCAAAGATCTGTTATTGATTGCACAATGCAGAGTTGGAACCTAACATTTAAATCCACAGGGCGCTGATCCTTTAACTTTTTGAACCATGGAAACAAAAGATTTTGGGAAGAATGCTGTTACATACGAGGAGTTTCTAGTTTTCATTGGAAACTTACGAAGTAGGTTAGCTGTTTTGCAAATTACAATAGATTTTGGTTTGACCTAGGCAAAGTTAGCACTGTATTCTTGCATCAGTGTCCTTGATTTTCTTTAGAAGGAAAGGATAAAATGTTTAATTGAATAATGAAGTATTTAGTGTCGGGGAACAAAAATCTATGAAATGAAAGGATTTGAGTCTGTTGACACTTCATAAATGGCAAAATGGCGACGACTTGTTTTAGCTGCGTGATTGTTCACACTATGCAGTGAAATTGTTGCATTCAGTGTTCATGTTGGCCTTGTTGCACATATGGCATTAGATGTCAAAAGATACTTGAATTAACATCACTATGGTTATTGTCCCTTTATTCACCACTAGAGTGTCCATGTGTGTCTCGGTAGTGTGTCTGTGTAGAGTTATAGGTGATTAAGTGAGAATGAAAATACGAGTATTATGGATTGTATAGTGGACATCAAACCCCCTCTAGCTCTTTATTGATAGAAATAGATGTTACCAGTATGCTTAGGGGTGTCAGAACCCGCAAGCACTGTTAAGGACACAGCCATTTCCCTTGTACATGACCCTCGGTACTTGTTGATCCCAAGCCAATACTTGAGGGCTACTCTGCTGTGTGCTGATTCTAAACACAATCAACTCAGGATACAGGACACATTAGGGATGATGAGCCTTCTTATTTGTAACCTCTTTCATGTTTAGGCCACTAGTGCTCCTAAACTTCGGCTGAAGTTGGGAATCTAGACATCACAATGTAGCAGTGTAGAATAATTTTCAGACACGCCAAAGCACAATGTAGGTAGGTAGTTCTAAGCGACAACTAGTCACAATCAAATTTATCATAAGAATCTCCACAGAATAGCCGCTAGTTGGGAACCATAATTGGAGATTCTCATAAAGCCATGGCTTCAAAAACGATAGATGAAATGAAACCAAGGAAACAGGATTACACTAGGTGGATGGAAAAATTAGCCGTGTTTGGTTTGCATTCTAAAAAAGTGTTTTTATATTTTTAAAAGAAGTTTAGAAAAAAAATTGTTTGGTCAACTACTTTTTATTTTTAAAAATTGAAAACAAAAAATGAAAAATTTTAAAGAACAAGTTAGTTAGGAATGTTGTGCACTTTAGAAAAAATATATTCTAGAATTTATAAAACACCGCGTCCACCACATTTCCACAACCACAACCTAAAGTTATCCACTTTTCTAAAACTCTTCTCTAAAATAATTCTTGGATACTTTTTTTCAAAACACAAACTAAAGTTATCCACTTCCCATTCTCAGAAGAAAGAAAGATACCTTTCCACCCTTCATGTTTCATAAAAAAGGATTGAAACCAAGAGAGATCAAAACTTTTTACGTATGGCATGGATTAAAAAGTGAAAACAAAGAAAAATAAACATGCATATACATCCCATACATATTAAGGGGTATCAAGGTAAGTAACTCATTTTCTGCCCAATTTTATGAAGATAGATTTCAAAAAATTTGAAGAAAAACTAATTCATCCACCTTTTCTTCCCAACAAAACATCATTTTTTTTACCTATTCTTCCCCTTTTCCATCCATCCACCCATTATATTAAATGGATCATACACCACTGGCTGCCAGCAAAATTCCACAGAAAATAACACAGCTTTCTCCCTCCACAGCCAAAAATGATAAACTACTCAATAATGAACTAATATATGTTTCAGCATAAGTTCTGAAATCAGAAAAGATAATATAAAATTACTTCAAATAACAAATCCTTAAAAAGCAACACAAAAGCAGGTTTCATGATACTGGGGACAAAAAGGAAATTCTTCACTTTTTGAAAAATCAGACTACACTCTTGATTCAAGAGGAAGCTCCACTGCGCAATGCTTGATTCTTCTTTGGCTTCCTTGTAGCTAACTGAGTCTCAGGCTGCAAATGTTCCATGTCATGTAAGGCTACCATGCCAACAAATGGGAAAACAACTCGAGTTCATATATGGGGTAGGGTAAAATACACTTGCTGGTCTCCTAATATTTTAATTGTGTCAATTTGGTCTCTCAACTTTTCAATTTGTGTTTACTTTAGTCCAATCAAAAAGGGCAATTGGAATTTACTAATGGAGATCGTTACGTGATCACACTTGACATGCATTATTTGAAAACTTTAGGGACTAAAAGTAACAAACTGTAAAATTGAAGACCAAAATGATACAATACAAGGAAACAAAGTGATCCCCCAAGTGTAGCCACAGAAAGTTATAAACATCTCCGTTGGTCCATTCAAACTGCAGTTTCCGTTACAGAGTGAGAAGTTAGAGCAAATTGACAAAAATCAAAGATTGGGGACCAAATTGACACACATACTTGAGGGACTGTCAATGTATTTTACCCTTGTATAGATTGTTATGATAGAGGCAAGTTCAACTAATCAAATGCAAAACAGGCTACGACGTGTATCAAATCTCTTTATATAGCCTTTTAAGTTGACAAAATAAAAATCTGTTATACTACCTCCTTCTGGACAGCTTCTTCCTTTTCGGACAAAATCAACTCGATATGGCAGGGAGATGACATGTACGCTGCAACAGAAATGAAGGTCGTTAAAACCACACTCAACAAATGGAAGGACGAGGAAAACACAGAACTCAATGAAGGTAGGAAAACACTCACGGTTGATTCTTCCATGGGCACGGTATGTGCGACGCCTCTGCTTCTGTGCTTGATTAACCTGGATGTGAGATATGTAAAGTGAATCCACATCCAAGCCTTTCACCTAAAGAAAAAGTAGTAACCAAAAACACATCCCGTTAGCAGGTAGAAGACACTGGAAACAAGAAAACAGCCAATGGCAATACATACTTCAGCATTACTCTCAGCGTTCTTCAGCAAATCTAGAATAAACCTTGCTGATTTAACTGGCCAACGTCCTTGTCCATTTGAATGACGATTCTTTGCCTGAGCAGTGCGCCCAACTCCACGACAGAATCGTGTGAATGGAATGGCTTGTTTGTGGGCAAGGACATCATCCAGGTACCTTTTAGCCTTGATCAAAGGCAATTTCCTAATTGCATGAGCAGTCTCTCTCGTATTCTGCCAGCAAACAATATAAACATTTGAGTGAGGAAAAATGAACACAGGCATACAAAATACGTTAACAGAGAAGGAAAAGCAGGCATATTATCACTTTCAGCAGAAACCAAAGATGCATCTCTACTAATTTAACCCCACACTATTAGAAATGTAAAACTGAGGCTGGTGATTATTTTATCCTGGATAACATAACAAAACCACGTATAACCATCATACTATTCAAATGACAACTACCAAACATAAACATAAGGAATGCAGTTAATAATTAACAAAAATGGAGACTTGATCGATGAAGCTTAATTCTTCAGCATCTAATAGCAAATTCAGAGATGTTAAGCCTGACAATATAATACGTGGAATGATAAGAAAAAATTCCAATAAGACAATTGCAAAAAAAAGTTAATATTAATTAGCAAAGTCACAGATGTTAATTCTGACACTTTAATGCAGAATGCTAAGGAAAATTTTCAGAACAAATTTTAATGTGACGGTCGCAAAATCATCTATATTGAAAAACACTATCTACAGAAGACAACAATTTCGGGATCAATCCTAGTCCAAGTTTCAATTTGGTGGAATCACATTTACTAATCTGTAAACTGTTACTTCAAGCAAGAAATGGAAGAGTTCGATTCCAAAACATATAGGACTCAATACTTATGCTACAGACCTAGCATTTCTATCTTTCTGATTCAATAAATTTTTGCTTTCTAAAGCCTCTCCTCACATATATGTGAACACAATGTCATATGACTCTGCAGGTAACTCGCACCTTATTAAATTTTTTCAAGCATGCTCACTTCAAAATGTATTCCACGCGTCATTGAGAAGGCTCACTTCAAAATGTATTCCACGCGTCATTGAGAATGCTCACTTCAAAATGTAGTTGTTAGGTACATCTGTGGTTTAGAAATTGCGTGCTCTGGTTCTTCACAAGAAAATTTAGAGGCACAAATCTAGGCCAGAAGGATGGGCATCAACATGCCAATATTTATCGTCCCTAATTGCTTGTTAATTTTTTTTATTTGGGCAAATGGCTTGTTCCTTAGTTCACCCTTTGTAACTTGTCTATTGTTTTCAATTTTTTTAATTTCCACACCTTGAACTCCGGTTTTGAATGCAGATGTCATTTTGGGTACTTAGAGAAACCAAATCCAATGCTAAGACTACATAAGGTCAATAACTAAAATGCCATGTGAAAAAGCATTGAAACGGGCCTTTATTTACTGAACTCTTGTCACTTACAAGACAAGTTTTCCAAAAAGGACAGTGATTTGCCAAGTTCTTGATAGATCTGCTCACAAAAAAGGCAATGGACCCCCATGTTTTTCATCAAATTCAGCAAATGCGGCTGTCCATTAATTATCAGAAACTCAAAAAAATGAACTTCGCATGATCAAATCAAGCTACTAATTAATCCCAACCGTACTTTCAAATATGCAACGACGAACACCAATTCAATTCCTATTTCAGCTCAATCTATTTATGTCTAATACATTTCCAGTGAGACGAAATAAGCAAGTAACAGTAGCAATGACAAAAACGCAGATCCATATGATAAAACGAAGAAAACCAAAATCAAAATCAACTTGGACTTACCTTAAAATGAACTCTGAGATCGGAGCCCCTGGCTTTGCAAGCTGAAACACACACACACACCAATAAGAAAACTAACACAATGAGATTTCAATGTTTCTACAACCTTTTCAACGCCGATAAAAGTAAGGAAAATCCAATACTCACATTTGGTGGGGTTGTCGGGCTCCCTCGAATACTTCACCTGAAATTTCGCGCACACAAATACAATATACCGATCAAAATCGAGAACAACATCAGAAAACTACTAGAGAGAGAGAGAGAGAGAGAGAGAGACTAACCATGGCTGCTGCTAGGTGTGTTTTGATGACCCAACCGATATAAAACGTTGAGGGCGCTAACGAATATAAAAGACGGAATGAAACCCTAGTGCTAGGGTTTACAGATTACTCCTCTGGTTTGGACTGGGCCTTTTCTCAAACTTTGTTTCATAAAACGAACTCATTCTTCCGGCCCAATCGGTTTTTTTTTTAAGGACAATGGTCCAATTTTATTTTACAAGCATCAAAATATTATTTTATTTTATTTTTTTGATTTTTTGATCATTGGTCAGAGGATTCTCTCAGTTTTTATGCACCTTGACTAATTTTTTATCTGATTCGGTTAAAAATAGTTCATCTACGCCAAAATTAAGATATTCATGAGAAATCTCTCATGACTTAGGTCTAAGAGATTACTAATATTTAAATTTAGAATTTATCTATGTTATCATTTGAGTTATCTCTTGAACATCTATATAATAAAATATATTATAATTTAAATTTCAAATGATTTTTATTTTTTACGGTTCGGATCGCTTTAAATTTTACTTTAAAGCTAATCTAACAGCTAATATTAACACCCTAAATTTAATAGGAAAATATTAGGTCTGACAATTTTAGACACGACTCGTGAAATCGACACGAATTTAACACGGATTTAGCGGGTTTGAGTATAGTCTTAACGGGTTCGAGTGATTAACGGGTTAACTCGGCAGACCCGTGAAATAAATGAATCGGTTTCATGTTTAACTCATAAACTCGTTTCAACTTGTTTAACCCGTTAACAGTAGTATTATAATTTTTTTTAAAAAAAATTATGTCTCTCAACCTCTACATTATCTCACACCTTCCATTTCTCAGACTCATTCAACTTTAATGTTTATTTTTTTGTTAAACTATGATTTATTGATATAATAAACAGGTCAAACATGTATAATATATGACAAGTTGATGATTTTTCGTGTAAATTCGAAATACTCTAATTTATTCCCTTATTTAGCGGGTGACACACGAATTGTATCGAGTAACCCGTCTAATAAACAATTCGTGTATGAATATGATAGTTGAACTCGTTTACATAAACGAATGGGGTATGGATGAAGGGTTTTTTAACATAAACTCCGTTTCATCTGACACGAAACCGTTCCACTCGACACGATTGCCAAGCCTAGGAAAAATAGGGGTCTAAGGGTGTGTTAGGAGTGACTTTTTAAAAATTCTTTCTAAGAATTATTTCTCATAATTACTTTAAAAAAAAAAATGTTTGAAACCACCCCACCACTACCTCTATCACCACCACAACCACCACCTCTACCATCACCACAACCACCACCTCTACCATCACTACAACCTCTACCACCACCGCCGCCACCACCACCACCATCGTTATCGTAGCCACCACCATTACCACCACTACCGTTGCCACCACCATCGTCATCGCCGCCATTGCAGTCATTGTTACCCACTATAACTATTACCGTCTCCTACCACCACCACTGCCGCTCACCACCTCTTACCCTCACTACAATCCGATACTTAAATTCATTTATTTTTCCTTTATTTTTGTAATTTAATTTTGGATATGAATACAAATATATTTATTGTTTATTATTTCTTATTATTCTGTGCCTTTAGGCATAAACAATAACTAGTCTATATAATAAATTAACTTATAATTCAAATTTTTAAAGATACACAAAATGACTTTTACTTTTTGCGGTTCAAATCGCTTTAAATTTACTTTAAAGTTAATCTAACAGCTAATATTAATACCCTATATTTAATAGGAAAAATAGGACTCTACAAGTGTATTTGGAGTGATTTTTTAAAAGTATTTCTAAGAATTATTTCTCATAAGTACTTTTAAAAATAAATAGTATTTGAAACTGTCCCACCACTACCTCTACACCACCTCCCCCACCTCACCGCCGCCACCATCACCGCGCCCCACGACCATTGCCGCCACCACGGTCATTATCACCTACCACAACCATAATCGCCTCCTATAATCACTATCGCGTACCACTTCTCACCTCTCATTACAACTGATACTTAAATTTATGTATCTATCATTTATGTTTGTGATTTGATTTTGGATATGAATATAAATATGTTTATTGTTTATTATTTTTTATTATTTTGTGCTTTCAGACATAAACAATAACTAGTATTAAAATATTATTAATACCAGAGGTTTGTGCACATACGATGGTCTAGTGTAAACAAAGAGAGAAGATATTAGAATATATAAATCTAGATAATTATAAGAGTTAAGAAAAGTTAAGCATAATTAATGATAAATAATTAATTAAAATAAAAGTTCTGTGTGGTTAAAGAGAAAAATAGAAAGCAAAATAGACATTTTTAAAATGGACATGAAAAACCCCTCTCCTTTTATCAATAGTATAGATTTTATTATTTTATGGTCTCCCTTGTTTTTACAATAGTATATTTACGGATTCTTTATTTGACTTTTCATCTATTTTTTTTGGGTCATATATATATTTTTTTATGACACACACAAAGGGATATATACATATTTAAAATATATTTCGTCCAATATCATACTACAAAAAGACCAACAAACTTAAGTCCAAATATCACTTTCAAAAGAGCCTAATCTTATGTGTCATATATTGATTGAACAATATTACTTGAACTACCTTATTTCTTAACATAATCAATAATTGTCATTAATTTAATTACATATCCAAATATTTTTTTAAATTAATTATCATATTTTTGGGGGGTAAATCGTGGGTAGGCCTGACAATCGTGTCAAATGGAATGGTTTTGTGTCGGGTGGAACGGGTTTGTGTAAAAAAATTCTACATCCATACCCTATTCGTTTATATAAACGAGTCCAACTATCACATCCATACACGAATCATTTATTTGACAGGTTACCCATATATCCCGTATGTTACCCGCTAAATAAGAGAATAGGTTAGATAATTTCGAGTCCCCATGAAAAATCATTAATTTGTCACACATTGCACATGTTTGAACTATTTACTATAACAATAAATCATGACTGAACAAAAAAATAACGACAAAAAATAAGCATTAAATGACTACTAAATTTGAATGATTTTGAGAGATAGAAGGTGTGAGATAAGGTAGAGACTGAAAGACCTAACTTGTTTTTTAAAAATTTATTGTACCACTCTTAACGAGTGAAACGGGTTGAAACAAGTTTATGGTTAAACACGAAATCGGTTCGTTTATTTCACGGGTTTGCCGAGTTAACTTGTTAACCACTTAAACACATTAGGACTACACCCAAATTCGCTAAATTCGCGTCGAGTTCATGTCGGTTTCACGAGTCGTGTCTAGAATTGTCAGCCTTGATCTTGGGCATAACATTACTTAAGGCATTGAAACACTACGATGTCTTGGAGAAGTCACACCCATATCATCCGCATTGAGCTACGTTATTATACAGTTCGAAAGAATTTCAAATATAATTGAGATTTTCATAATCATCCACTGCCCTCTTTGGCTAAAACATTAGCACAAGAGTTAGTTTTTCGAACCTCTTGATTGATAACCGCTTCCTATATTATGTCCACAAGTCACCTATAATCATTGAGAATTGGATTCTAAACGTAGGTTGGAGAATTTCACCATCAATTTAATGATTATATTTAATTAAAGGGTCAATTATAAATTATACTTCAAAAAATCGTTTGAATCTTAATTTGTATCCCTAAAGATAAAAAATCTCAATTTATACCTTCAAAAATAGAAATTTATATCAAAGTGCACTTCCAAGATCAAAAATCTCAATTTACACCATCAAAGATAGAAATTTGTTTTAATATGCATTTAAAACTAACCGCCGTCAGTTTACTGTCTCAAATTAAATTGATAAATTATACCTAAATCCCATCATTCTTGTCACTTAATCATTTGAACCTCTTCACATTTAGAATATTACTCATACATGTCATGACGTTGTGCACGTGTAACACGTAACCCTTTTTAGTTGATATCTATTAATATAACCGTTAAAAAATACGATTTTATCATAATAAAAAATTATAATTTCATATTACCTTTTATTTTGTGGGTTCAATATACTTTAAAGTTCAAAATCAAACTTACCATTTGAATGTCCAATAGAATGTAGGTATTTATATAATATTTATTATATCCAATACAATATATCACTTAAACATAATTATTTTAATGCCCAATCAGGGAGACATTTTAGATTGACAGTATTTTTATTAGGATTTTATAACCGTTAAAAATATGATTTTATCATAATAAAAATTTATAATTTCATATTACTCTTTATTTTGTGAAGGAATTCAAATGATTAAGTGACAAACATGAGAAGATCTAAGTTAATTTATCAATTTAGTTTCAGGCAGTAAATTGATGGAAGTTAATTTTAAGTGCACATTGATATAAATTTCTATTTTTGAGTGTGTAAATTGAGATTTTTGACTTTGGGGGTGCACATTGATACAAATTTTTATTTTTGAGGGTTTAAATTGAAAATTTTGATCTTTGAGGGTAAAAATTAAGATTCGAACGATTTTTCGGGGTGTAATTTGCAATTAACCCTTAATTAAATTCAGAAATATGGTGTCTAACTTTCAAATAAGGGCACTTCCGTAATTTCATTATCTCAATAAAAACCACAGCGAGCTAGACAGATCGAACCAGTTACAGTTAGCTAGCTCCGTCGCCGATCTCGAAATCGCTGGAGGAACGAAAAGCAGAACGAACTTGGATTGAGCTTCTTCTTCTTCTCTACCTGTAAGATTATCTAAATTCGATTGTTTAAATTTTGTATTGCTTTACAGTTCATCTCGTTGAATTTAGGGTTTCGAAAGTCATAGATCTCCTCTCTTCACTTTGAGAAACGAATAAGCTAATCCAAAGCCTTTGCCTTTTTTTTTTTCTTTTATGTTTTTGTTTTGTTCAGAAAAAGGTTTGGTTGAAGATTCATGTATTTTTGCACATACCCATTTGGATAGTAGGCTGTTTGAATTTGGACTAGGGATTTAGATAGAGAAGGTCAGGGTTTTTGCTTTATGACTTTCTCAGCTGAAATTAGGATTTTTGGAAGCTGCTATGTTTAATGGAATTGCGTGAACCCTAGAAGATATTGGGTGTCTAGATATATATTGTTATGGCGGCGAATAATAACCCCCCAGTGAAGAATGTGGGAGGTGTTCAACCAGTTTTTGGTAATTCAGGGGCAGTAATGCCTCAAACTATGCCGGTGAACCACCACCAAGCACCACCCCATCTTCTCTCTCAGTCACAACATCAAACACAAGGTGGGTCTCAGTTTCCTGGTCATTTTCAGTTGTCCGAGCCGCAAACTCAATCATTGGCTCAGGCACAGTATGCCCAGGCTCATGCCCAGGTTCAACATGCTCAGGCTCAGGCTCAACAAGCTCATGCCCGCTTCAAAGCTCAATTACAAGCCCAAGCTCAAGCTCAGGCTCAGGCTCAACCGCAGACTCAGTCATTTACCCAATTGCAAAATACTGGCAGTAGTAATGTTGGTGTATCTTCACCCTCTATTACAACGCCTGGCATGGGAAGTGCCAAACGGGCTCCTCATAAACCACCCTCTAGGCCTCCCGGTTCTTCTCCTGCCACTGCTTCACCATTGAAAACTATGGAATTAACACCTGCTGCTCGTAGAAGGAAGCGAAAGCTTCCTGAGAATAAAATTCCGGATAAAGTAGCTGCAGTTTTACCCGAGTCAGCTCTCTATACTCAGCTGCTTGAATTTGAGGTTCGTGTGGATGCTGCTCTTGCAAGAAAGAAGATTGACATACAGGAATCCCTTAAGAACCCACCGCGAGTCCAGAAAACCCTTCGTATTTATGTTTTCAACACATATGCAAACCAGACTGGGACGATCTCTGATAATAAGAATGCAGAGTCCCCTTCTTGGTCACTCAAGATAATTGGAAAGATCTTGGAGAATGGTACAGATCCTGATGTGGCTGGAATGGTAGAGAGGCCTAACACTTCCTACCCAAAATTATCAGCTTTTTTCAAGAAAATCACCATATACTTGGACCAGAGCCTCTATTCAGAGAACCATGTAATTTTATGGGAGAGTTCTCGCTCACCTGCCCTGCACGAGGGTTTTGAGGTGAGGAGAAAAGGAGACAAAGAATTCACAGCAATTATTAGAATAGAAATGAATTATGTGCCTGAGAAATTTAAACTCTCAGCGGCTCTGGCAGAAGTTTTTGGAATTGAGGTAGAGACTCGCCCAAGAATTTTAGCTGCCCTCTGGCATTATGTGAAAGCCAAGAAACTACAAATTCCTAGTGACCCTTCTTTCTTTATGTGTGATCCACCTCTCCGGAAAGTATTTGGGGAAGAGAAGGTGAAATTTGCAATGGTTTCACAGAAGATATCACAGCATTTGACTCCTCCACAACCTATACATATTGAGCACAGGATCAAGCTTTCGGGGAATTGTCCAGCTGGAAATACTTGTTATGATGTGCTGGTTGATGTCCCTTTTTCATCAGAAAAGGAAATGTCAGCTTTCTTGGCAAGTTTAGAGAAGCACAAGGAGATTGATGTTTGTGATCAAGCTATTTCTGCTGCTATAAAGAAGATCCATGAACATCGTCGGAGGCGGGCTTTCTTTTTAGGATTCAGTCAGTCTCCAGCTGAATTTATCAATACTTTGATTACTTCTCAGAGTATTGATCTAAAGGCTATTGCTAGAGATGGCACTCGTAATCCAGAGAAAGAGCACCTTTCTGAATTCTACAATCAACCATGGTAAACTTTTTTTCATATTACTCAATCCAAATTTCTGTTTGTCGTATACATGTGTGCAAGCATGTGTGTAAGCATGGCCATCTTCTGGTTATTTTGTGTTGATTACTGATCATATGACCTTATTGAAGAGGGATTCACTGTAGAATGTTAAATGCTTCAAGTAATCATTTCAGTTGTGTGCTAGGGTAAAATTAATTGTTGCATATGAATTCTTATACTCCTCATAATGTGGTTAATTTGATGGGTTTCTTCAACCCATTCACATTCCGTGTGGTTCCAGTAGTGGTTGATGCCATATTTACTCATCCTCACTTTAATACCCACCGTTGGTCATGTTCACAGTTTCCCTATGATATGGTCCATGTTTTAGTGGTTTCTGATCCCAATGAACCCCAGGACCTGGTTATATTGTTTCTCTTGCGATGAGGATTAATGAATGATGATGATGCTTTACAGATATTTTTGTTTGGGGAGATACTACTGATCAATGTTTTTCTGGCTGAATGTAATTCGTGTGACACAAATATGTCCCAATTATCTAATCTATTGTGTGCACTTGACAGGCTTGAAGATGCTGTTATCCGTTACCTGAACCGCAAGCCTGCAGCTGGAAGTGACGTTCCTGGAAGCACGTAGTACGGGAATTGTTGTCATTTTATTAGGTTAGTAGGCATGTAGCTTCTTGTTTCTACTTCAGAGCCTGTTGGTATCTTTTTTTGAGACAATTCAGCTTTCATAACTGGTATGAGAATATTGGATGTCCATTCAGAAAATATCTTCAGTGGCTAGCCTCATAATTTACCTTAGTTGTTCAAATTCATGATTATGTGATCAGTCTATTTTTGTCTATTTGTACCCTACACACGAAATCAGTTCATCCAAGCCACAACTTGTAGTAGAAAGATAAGAGCTAACCTGAAAATCTAGATTTTGAACATCCTCAAAGATATAGCAATCAACTCTTGTTCACATGCACATACACACATACAAACAAACAATTAACAAACCAATGATATCTTAGGTACTCTAGTAGTCTTACGATCTGGGGTGGAAGAACCCAGTTGAATGGGCTCGTGACCTAGATCATCCAAATTCCTAACCCAAATAGTGACACAAAATCAACCCACGATTTAGGTAACCCCAAGTTTTAATGTTAATCCCAAATTGTAATTCTAACTGTTGTCTTTTCTTTTTTTTCTTTTGGTGATTTTTGAACTTATATTCAGATTTGTTATGATTTGTATTTTACCATTAACTTTTAGTATTCACAATCTCGTGCTAGCACATTGTTTGAATTCTGTTTTGATTGGTCTTTTTATCACAAATATAACTTAAAAATATTAAATGGCTTCAAGTGTATAAATTCGCATATTTGTCCATAGGTCAAATCGGATCTGTAATTATTGGAATAATTGTTAGAAAATCAAATGATGGATATGCCAAGCATTATCACTAATATGTTGTTCTATATCTCCGTGAATCTAGGAACTTTTGCTTGTGTTGTATTATAAAATTTTCCCTTTTTGCACAACACAATGGAAAAATAATTGCTAGTATCTCCTTGTGCGTGTTCATTAAAAAAATAAATAAATTGTGTAACCGTAACATAGTATTGGTCCCACTATCCAGTCAACACTAAATTCCAAGTTTTCCATCCCCTGCAATCCCGCATTTAACTTAGACTGGCGAGGTGAAAGTGATATGATGGTTGTCCTTATGCCTACCTAGTAATATATTTTCCTCATGAAGGTGTACAATTTTTGATATGAAGTTCAGAAGTGAGCAGTACAATGAACTTGGGAGCTTCTTTACTCATATTTATTTCTCCAGTCAGTCATTTACTTCATCGGTCTTATACAAGAGACGATGACAAATATTTTACAGTGTTTCTTTGACATTGGATCGAAAGCAAGGTCTACAAATTACACAAGAATCGAGTATCCAACATGAATAACCATGATAAATGCATTGCCTGTGAAGTATGTGTTCATCTGTGTCTTATAGATCTACCCGTTGTTGATTGTAAATTGGAAACTAATATTCGAAAGAAGCGACAGTATCGAATGTGGAATCTGTATATTTTGTTAACACAATATTCGAAACTAATTGTCTAACACATTGTTTATAATGACGGAGAAATATGAACTTCCTACGTATGATCATCACGAATTGAATTCCAATCAAAATTACACTCTGTCAAGTCTGTTTCCTTATTCTGCCTTGGTTTTTCAGTCTTTTCTTGAGCTGGGTTGGTTGAAATATACATTAACATTAGAAACACATTGAAATAATGTTGAAATCATGCTGAAATATCTCAAAACGTTCTAAAATATCTCAAAGCTTGAAATTTTGATTTAATCACTTATTTGTTTTGGTGTTCTTGGAATTGAAAATAATTCGACCGTTATGTCCCAGGAAACTTCCTCAGCGAAAATTAACGTGTATGGTTGTTTAAAGGAGATATGGGACGCCGCCCCTTGTGGCTATTTTAGGACCTGCAACAGAAGCTTACACTGGCCTGCATTGGCACTCCCATGGGCTACTGGGCTTTTGTTTCTATTGGATTAGCCCCTCCTTTTAGACCGCCAAAGTTGAGCCATGATCTGCTTTTGGACCCACTCATGGGACTTTGCTCCATGTATCTGCCTTGCCATACGACGATGGACTACAGCAACGTCTTAGTGCCCACAAAACTATCTCTCTCTCTCTCTAAAATTATGCTTACTAAATTTGTGTATTAAATCTTCTATCTCAACCAATGTGTAAATTTGTCATTATTGAATATTAATGGGATGTATTTATCTATTGGTAAAAAATGTACCACAAGCAGCAAAACTCCAACACAATTAACCAATCCTATATCCCCATCAAAAGAATTGGAATGAAGTTCTATTAATCATACCCTTTCATCGAGAAAATATGGATGAAAATTCTAGTATTTTTTCACAAGCATGTTTCCCAACTAATTCAGCTAAAAAAAAAAAAAAAAAAGCCGACTCTCAACATGGCAATTGGTCAGAATGGCAATAAAAGACATCATAGCCAACTAACAAACGAAACTTCTTTAAATTGAAATGCAGTCACTGTTTATACAAAAATCATAATGCACTAATTTCGCGGTTTGGACAAATCTTCTCAGAAATCCACCTACAGTTAAAAAGACTACATGATAACTAACAAACTAGGAACAGACATGAGGTGTTGTAAATCCCCTGGATTTCTCTCACTTCAAATTAGTTCCGAGGCACAACGACAAAATACATTCAGAGAGACAAAACCACACTTTCCTGGCGCTGAATGTCGTACAGGTTTGTGAATTGGCCTCCCCTGAGATACAGAATCATGATTAGCCATTCACGCCTCTCAAGCGTGCAACTAGTTCATCCTGCCATAAAACTTCACACATCAGCGAACCCATATATTAAAAGAGAATAAGAAGGGAATACTTCATAGTCAATAACCAATCTCCGCATGCTAATCAATGGGCTCCACCAGCAACGCCATTAATTAGATACTCCTAAACCAGATTGGCATCACCATATGAACATAAAAAGGCCATTAATTAGATACTCCTAAACCAGATTGACATCACCATATGAACAGAAAAAAAGCCATCAATTAAATACTCCGAAACCAGATTGGCATCACCAGATGAACAAAAAAAGGGCACGCTAATTTAAAATTAAAATCCGTTTCAGAACTATTTTGAAATATCCCATGGGTACAGCAACTAAATAAGAAAGGCTTCCAAACAACACAAATAAATATCACGATACTTGCCTTCTTGCCTTTCAGAGAAAGACCTTTCTCCCTCAAAAGAGCACGGAGTCTATCTACAGTCAAACTCTGTATATCCTTCTCAGGTACTCGAGATTTTGATCCGGCCTCTATATGCTCAAAGAACAATTAGATACTCAGGAGATGACGTGCATAACAAAAATGTGATCGTTGAAAATAGAGGATATAAATTCACAATGTTTGGAACAAAGAAAAGATTTTAATAGAGCAAGTGCACATGGATATACAGATAAATTGGGACAGAAATTGTTCAGGAAATCATTGCACACATTAATTGAAGATACTGCGTCAATAATTTTGAATAATCTCTTACAATAACTTCACAATACATTTAAACAATGCCCTACAAACACAAATTTGCCTATAAGACGGCCAGACCGTACAAAAGCGGACAGGGTGTGTTTAAAGCTAGTCCTTTACATACACAAATTTGCTTCTCAATGACCACCCAGCTCATACAATAGTGGGCAGGGTGTGTATTAGAGCCTAGACAACAAATTCAAGTCCTCGGTCAAAGTCATACTGCTGGACATAATTATTGGCCTGTATAAAATTTACAAAGTCCAATGACATCAAAGATTTTCATGGCACAGTCAAATCAGAATTATGCCAAGATGAGAATATTTCAATAATGATTCTGACCATATTTACCAGACCCAATGGAAAGAGGCGGAATGATGCAATATGTCCTCTTTACAACATAGTTCTCCAAAAATCACAAGGTTTGTTTACATGTCCACTATACAAAAGCACTTAATGTAAATATATCTACAGAAAGCTCACCTGGCTGAGAACCAGCGTGATTGTTGGTAATGGCTCTCTTAGCTGAAGCCCTGCTGTCCAGAGCTTTTTCAGCAGCCCTGAAAACAATAAAGAATGCAGGGAAACGAGACCTTGCTTGCTAATCGTGCAAACATGAAATAAAAGAAACTGGCTACTTGAAAATGTCAACAAGAGGGACAAAAGAATGTAAGTGCACACATGAGGATTGTAAAAAGTGCAAAACACAGATGGATCTAATACCTCTTTCTAGAACTCTCATTTGCAGCTGTACCCCTTACATCCTTTGAATTGGAATCACCCTTTTGTTTCTTAAGCATAAGAGATCTAATCAGTATGTTCGTCTGGTTTGTCTTTATCAGCTGGTTCTCTGGATGTACACACCAGGAATCAGTATGAAATAATTCTCAAACACAAATTCCATTGCCCAAAAAAAATGTCACAACATAGATTGAAACAACAAAAGTAAAGATTGAAAAACCATAATTGCCAGCTTAATTTAAAGAATCATATCTAGTGCGTCTTTCAATAAGTCAAAAAGTTAGGCATCTGGGAGATATTTTAAAAACACAATAGAACAATATCAAAAGTCTACTAAACACATTAAACTTTTTTTGTGAAAGTTAAGGTCTGAAAATGTTTTGAATGCCCAAATTTCGCAAAATCAGGGGAGCTTGGACCTTTCTTAAACCTTTTTGGTGTTTAAAAAACAGTGTTCAACCTTTTTCAAGGATGTCTTTCCTCGATATCCCTCATCTTTCTTCCTTTCTCTCTCTGTTTTCCCCCCTTTTGCAAATATCAGTTTTAAGCAAACCCACTACACCCCCAACATTCCAAGTGCCCTTTTTCCACAAATGTGCAGATACTAAATCATCTGGCTTACCATGCTGCAAAACAGTCTATAGGTACATGCGGCAAAAGGAAAAGAAGAATTATGGTAAATTGCTTTACGCTTGGTAAATAATTGTCAAAAGAACCAAATCTATCAGGAAAAATTCTAGCTTAAAATCCAGTTCCTGCCTACAACTCAACAAAACAAGACCTCAAATCTCAGTTACTCTCTCTGGACAGGCCTACGCCCTCCATAAAACATAAAAGTAAATGTTTAATATTAATCTAAGAAAAATAAAAGAGTAAAGCCATACTTATCAATAACGAAGCTGTAGGAAACTACTTGAAAAGTACTACAATGTCTGAAATCTGCAATTAAACTCTGAAACTTGTTCAGGCATATGTAAAGAATGGCAAGTCATCCATTCCAAATAAGGAGTTGGGTGTTGGAACAATAAGGGTGGGAAAGTCAAGGCCCCTCATGTAAACAAATTTTTCTTTTCACCGATTGACATCATTCAGAAGAACTAAATATCATATTTGTTGTGAATTGTTTATCAATAATTTCATCAAATCCCAGATAACTAAAGCTCCCTCCCCTATTGTGGTCTTGAATATCAATCTTCTAGATTGGAATACAGTAATTTCCGAGTTCTGGAAAGTAATACCCTGCTCCCAAATTTTCTTATAGTAAGTTCTAAAACTTTTCTTTTTTCTTTTCTTTGGTTCTATTGGTCAACCATTTTACTAGCATAAACTAGTTAGCCAAATGTTACCACCTTCAGCCATTTTTCTATGTGTTGGTGTTCTATAAACGTAAATCCTAATATATAACTTGAAAATAGTGACCACAAGAAAAAAGTGAATTTCTCAAACAAAGAACTTGCTCTAATTACAGGTGCACCTACTGACATGGATGTTGCAGGCACCCAAATGAGAACTTGCCAATGCATTTATGCCAAAGATCTCAAATACTCCAGTGTATTTTTTCTAAATTTGCAACATAGAAACAGTCATAAAGATTAAGGATCAGATTACATCTAGGGTAAGAATTGCTACTCTTACTTCTTCTCTAACTTTTTATAGGACGACTCATAGGCTAATTCCACTGCCGACATATTTTCACCACCACAATTGTCATTCATAAGAAACATGAAGTCGATTGGCTATGGTAAATTCCCTGATTCATGACATGCTTCCTATGAAAATTTCAGAACTCTAATTTGGAGCTTGCCATGATGGGACTGCTCCTCACTTCCAATTGATTTCAAATATGGGAAGCATAGCAAGCATAGGTGGGATATTCCCCAATTGGCTTGACATACAATGGGTCATCAGACTAGTTCTTCAAGAGTACAAATAACTATTGTCAAATAAGTCATAATTTGACCCTCATTCACTCTTATGCCTGCATAAAAGGGTCAATTTCCATTATCTGTTAATTTTGGAAAAACATAACTCTTCCACTAAAAAGACACTTGTGTCAAGGAGCTTGTGATCTATAAACTTTACATAGCTGCAAGCCCTAAAACATTAAGGAAAGTCAAAATAGAGAAAAAAACCTGGGGGCGATGTGTTGTGATCACAAACATAAACCCGCATCCCACCCTGCATAAATTTCTTAAAACGTAAATAAAAGAGATTAAATGGAAGACATTGCAGTGTTCTTTAGACACAGGACCCACAAATGAGACTAAAAATAATGATACTTACAATTATAGGCTTATAGTGAATAGGTTTATGGAAAGCATAAGGAAAAGGATTGTCCCTAAACAAGAAAGAGAACTATCTACTTTACAATGCGACATTCCCACTTACAAAGCAGACCAAGTAAATAATGAGTTTCTTCAGGGATTTTCTTAAAAGTTAGACCAGATAACATTTCCAATTGCAAAGCAGACCAATACTTAACCATATAGCAATCACACCACTCTTATACTAAAAGACCCTTATTCACTTCATCCATCTGGCTCCAATTCTACAAGACACATTGACGATCACGTAATTCCACCTATAAATCTTTAACTTTTGGTATCCATGATGTTCTTATCCATATCTGTCCCCCGCTCCATCCCTCTGTGTGTTTGGCTGTCTGGGTGCATGTCTATCGTCCTACAATTATTTTCGAAGTCATAACATAAATTAATTGCAAAACCATATTGTTTGTATACGAAATTTAAAAGGAATTAGTTTGAAATATTTTAGTTTTCAAGACCATGGATCAGCGAGATTCTTGTTTTCGGTAAGCATTTTTAAAACTTCATTATTAAATATAAATCAACATTTAAAACAACAAAAAAATTGAAATGAAAATATACAACTAAACCCCTAAACAGGGATGGGATTAAACCCTAGAGTTTCTTCACATATAAAATAATCCAAACTAGAAGCCGAAATACACCCGCAGTAGCAACCAACCGATTCCCAAGTCCGAGATCAGATCCTGAAGTTTCTCAATTTTCTGATCTAAACTTCAAAAAACAAAATTTTAATACAATGCAAGAAAATTGTTAGTATATGCACCGATTATAAAACAAAAGAGAGAACTTACAGGATTGGACGACAGAACGGTGGAGGAGAACAGGCCGCAAGAGGGGAGGTCTGCAAGAAATTTCGCGGCTCCGCCCCCTGCCGTTGGATTGTTTGAACCAGACGGCGGAACTGATGAACCATCCATAGCGCGCAATTAAACCCTAGATAAATAACCGACACAGCGACGAATTAATATGAACAGAGCGAACGAGAGAGAGAGTCAAATGAAATTCGCCGTCGGAGACTGCGCTCGGAGTGCTGGGTGGTCGGCACCGATTTCACGGTGGTGCGCGGGGACTCGCTATGCGTAAGGGCAGACAAGATTGGACCACGACATAATTGATAATTGTCTCGTGGGCCCCAAAAAACAAAAAAATAAAAATTACAAAAAATAGGGCTTTATCTTCGAATCCTCTATTTATTTCTCAAAGAGTAAAATTCCCAATCTAAATCATATAAAAATGGGCTAATGTCACTTTGCACCCTAAAATATGCTTTGATTTTTAATTTATAACCTTAAATATAAAAAATCTTAATTTACACCCTCAATGTAATAAATTGGTAGCAATGTGCATCTCGCCCAAACTACTGTTCAATTTTTCGTCATAAATTGAAACACGTGAATTATAAGTGTTTTCGCCATAAGTTTATTGTTGATGCTTCATATGAGTTGCACATCATAGACTTAGCCACTGTTTGATTAACAAAATTTTATTTTTGATTCGTAAAATAATGTCAAATTGATCACAGACGAAGATTTGTAGCAATGGACACACTTCATTCTCATATTCAAAGCAATTACAACTTATGTGATTCGATTTATGATAGAAAACTGATTGACAATTTGGGTGAGGTCCACATTGTTACCAATTCAAAATATTAAGGGCACAAATTAAAATTTTTAATACTTGAGGGTATAAATTAAAAATCGAGATATCTTTTAGAGTGTAAATTAAGATTAGTCCTATAAAAATATGGCAATCTAAATCTAACTCAAATGTTTATTGTTTTGTCTAATAATTTTTTTTGTATTTTTATATTATTTTTTTATGCATAATTATTTGTAAATTATTTGATTTTAAATATTTTACTTAAAAAATTTATATTTAGCAACCCCGTTAATTTGGTATTGATTGAAGAAAATTTCTATTTTGTTTTATCTATTATTTGATGACTCATTGTAAATTAGTTAGTTCTTTTTCTAATTTATTGAAAATATATGTACAAGAGAATTCTTTTTTTTTTAAAAAAAACTTTTATGTACGAATATATTAAGTTAAAGAAAAACGAGTCTTAATCATATAATTTCTAATTTGTGAGTCATAAATATTTGTACAAATATTATTAGACAATTACACCGCCTTCGTGGTGGAAGTGTTTGATTGGGATGAACAAGAAGGGAGGGAGCGGGTGATTTTATCGATGGGAGGTAGGGGGCAGGGTGCAGAGGAAATGGGGGGTGGGAGGGTGGCTGCCATGGCCTTGGTGTAATGGTGAGAGAAACTTCAAGGAGAGTTGCTTTTTTTTGTTGGAATTCCAAATTTCTCCTTTACTGGGTTTGTTTTGTTATTGATGGTGCTTGAAAATAATGGTTCAAGCCCAGTCAATGAGATGCTGGTGAGTTTTGTGAGTGTGATTGAGTGAGAGATTAATCTATAAGAAACAGAATGCAAAGAACGTGAGTGGTTCACTTTAGCCGTAGGATTAAGGCTAGGTCCACTGTAACGAAGTCTCTTGCTCCTTAAGGTTGTATATTGACTCTTGATGAATACAATGATATTATTGGTGCTAGGCCTTTACAAGGATTTGTGCTTTGCTTGCTATGGCTCTCAGGTTGGGGAGTGTAGTGGGGAAGATAATTCATTCATCCCCCTGGTAGGATAACACTGTTCTATTTATATGAGTCGTCCCTCCTATAGTTCCCGATAGTTCTTTTAACCTTTTTGTTGATTCTAACAGCCTCTGCTATTCGACGCTACTGTGCCCACGATTTTTGGACTGTTACGCACATCGCCACTCTCTGCGTCCGAGAGGGTGTAACTGTCATAGGCATCAGAGATGGTCCCCTTGTCCTTTAGACACGTGGCATGGTGGGATGCTTCCAGGGCAAATATTTGGCTTTTCTTTCCCAGGTTGTTCTTTAACTGGTATTGAACTGGTTCTGGGCTGGACCGTTGATCCTCTAGTGCTTTGCCTTTTGTCTTTTTTGTTCTTCGATGTAGGCTAACTAAGGGATATTTCTTTGGTCTATTAAACAAGAAAGGTTCTTTTGGGATTATTGGGCTCCAAGGTTATGGCGCCCCATGTCTAAAATTCCATCTTTATTAGTTGCCCACCAGCCCCTAGTCACGAGGATGACGTCATCTCTGACATGGGGTTAGAATCGTCTTTTCAAAATTTGACATTATCTCCTTGTGTGGTGAAAGTGCCTGATTGTCGGCTTTGATCTGATTTGTGCTAATATTTGCTAGTTGTGATGCGATGATTATGCACACGTGTCACTAGCGGGTGAGCCCAATGGTACGACTTCTTTTGTGTGTCTTGTCACCTGTTTGTCATGACTTAAATGTTGTGTATAAAAGGGAAAATCTTTTCATCTTTCCCACTCTGGTGCTTTTTTGAAAACCCTTTCGTGTGTTTCCTTCTTTCTTTTTGGCTTTTGAGGTGTCTTATTCCAGACTTTTGGGGGACTCACGATTTCTACATTTCTGGTTCCTTTCTGCTTCTAGCGCCTTGCTAGGTACGTCTTCCTTCCCTTCTTCTTTTTGCTTGACCTGGATCCCTTCAACCCTCCTTGGTAGAGCTTCGGGTTTCGTTTTTTCATCTGGAGATTCAGTTACTTCCGGAGTCATTCTGACAATTTATCTTCTCTACCGCACTTTAAAAATCGATTTACTTTGCTAAGGGTATCCTTCCTTAGTGGTTGGTGTTTGAGACCTTTATTCTTTACAGATTGCACCTTATATTTGCCTTCTCTACACTCTGATTTGTGACCCAAACCTTTGATGGGGAAGTTTGTCATTTCCTCTTCTGGGTTAGATTTTGAGGAGTAGGTCAGTGAGGAGGTCGAAGAAAGTACCTCGGCTCCCTCTAGTGACTGCTCTCCTGATGTTGGTGAGGTGGCTTCCGGGTCTGTCCTTGGGGTTTCTTCTTCAGCTCCTTCAGTAGAGTCTTGACCTCTTTCAACTTTGCCTCCTATCCCCTCTATCCAATTGAGGAAGAAGAAGTCTAAACTAATTCCTCCCTCTATTCCTAGAAAGAAAACCCGTCGTGACCAGTCCGACCTGTCCTGCTGCACAGAGGTGACTCCCAACTGTTTCAATGATGAGGATTTGAATAAGCTGAAGCGGGAATATCATTTTCCTGACTCCGTTGTCTTGCATTCTCCCAAGGACCATGAGATGTGTAATTCTTCCATCCCTAGGCTAGTCTGCTTCTTCAAGTCTTCATTCCAGGCTGGTCTGTGGATCCTTGTTCACCCCTTTATTCGAAATGTTCTAGGGTTTTACAATGTTTGCCCAACTCAGCTTTCCCCGAACGACTGAGGCTTTTTGATTGGATTCTTCGTTCACTGGTTTAAGAGTGGGAATTACTCTTATCCCACCATTAGGGCATTTGCCTCTATCTTCCAGCTCAAGTCCTCCCCTTCTTTGGGGTTCCTATATTTTACAAAAAGAGTAAAGGCAAGGAACCTAATTTTTGGCAAGGGGTGGAAGCCAAATTTTTCTTTGTTAGGGGTGACTCCTGAGAGCTTTCGGGGGAGCCTGATGATGTCCCTTGCAACCCCAGGTTTTAGGGGTTCAAAGGAACACCCGTAAGGCTAACCTATTGGCTGCGTTTTCCATCTTATTCTTATTTCATTGTCTTACTTAACGTTTGATCTAGTTTTAAATATTTTTGCCCAATACTTAACCCGAAGGAGACTGCCAGAGTTGCTAGAACCGAGGCTTTAGGGTTGTAATTCTTCTTTGACTTGGTGATCGACCAGAACCTTGCTACGTACGAGCTCGGGCTGCCCCCTGATCGACCCTCGGAGATCACATTGTCACTTGCCCCCTAACTTGAACCCATGGATCAAGACCTAATTATGGCGTTATTTTTAGATATCGAGAAATCAAGGAAGAAAAGGAAGCTGGTGAAGGGTTTGCAGCTGTCGTCCAAGGAGGTATCGGTGTCTAGGCCAACGTCTGTCCCCTCGAAGCAAGAGCATGGGGATCCTCCCTCGCTTAGGGATGTGATTGTGCACTCGTTACCCCTTTGCCTAAGATCAAATCTCCTCCTAAGGAGGCTTCAATGAGGCATCCCGGGGTCTTGGTGGCCTCTCACGCTTTTCCTCAACCTGTCTCTCATAGAGGCAGGAAATGAGGAATCTGTTCCCTCCAAGTGCAAAACGTAGGGGAACGGATTTCTTTGTGATCCTAAGGCTGTCGTGTCTGCTTAATCCAAGCTGATCTCTACGTCGAATCCCAGGGTGGCCATGCAAGTTCCATTCAAAAGGAAAATCCAGCATACCATTCAGGGTCTGGCCGATTTACTTTTTATTTTTTCTTGTGCCTCTTCTTTGGACCCTTTTTTCTGAATTGGCTAACCCCTTTCTTTTACAGTCGCTTGCCTACGTAAAGATGATAGATTTTCATCACGAGCAAGAGCTCTTTAAGGCCAAGGAATCTTTTGACGCCGTGATGACGGGTAAAGGGGCCATCGAGGAGAAGGTGAGGGTTATGTCAGTCGAGGCTATTGAGTTGAAGAGGATTAATGATGAGTTGAATGCCCGCCACCAAGACCTCATCAAGCTCAAAGATTCGCAGATAAAAGACAAAGAGGTTGAGCTCAAAGCTAAAGACATCGATCTGGTGGTCAAGGAATCTTAGTTAAAGTCCTCGTGGGCTAGGGTGGCAGAGCTTCTGAAAGAGAGTGCCTCTACCTTTGTGAAGGGGTTCCTGAACCTTCAGGAATAGATTGAGGATGCTTATCCTGATTTTGATTTGGGTCCCTTCGTGCCACAACTTGGGTTTAAGAAGGCGGTTGAGATAACCGATGAGGCTGAGTCGTCTGGTGCAGAGAAAATACCTACGCCTGGGGAGCTTGTGACCGAGGAACTCAATGCCCAGATCGAAGCAGTTGATGAAAGAGTCGGCGGTGGTGCTGGAACTGTGCTTTGAGACTGGCTCGCAGTTACTTCTTTTTCTCTTTCACTATAATTGGTTGATAACCTCTGTTTTGTAGTACTTCCTTCTTTTCTTACTGACAATGTAACTTTTTGGATGATGTACTCGTATATATCTCCCTTTTTTTTTTAACAAGGGCACTGTCGCTGGTTTTCTTTTTCTTATGGATGACGTGTCTTTTGCTAT